TGTGATTTGCAGACTACTATAGAGTCAGCTCCCTAAATTTCCTACTGGGTATACTTCATTTTAAACTCTCCTCACAAAAGTAGTTCATTTCTGCCTTACCCATCTCTTATAGTGGGATCTGGAACTGACCTCTACAATTTGGACACTGTTCATTTCACATGTCTGCTTTGTGGAACCACACTCAATTTCTCTAAAATGATAGTTCCAAGAGTATCCAGTTTATGCAAGCAACTTATTCTCACCGTGCTTTCTTCATTTTTCTATTCCTTAACTATGATTTAAGTGATGGAAGGCCACACAAAGGTACTGAAGAAATTGACTTTGATTTCAAATGCTCTGGAAAATAAGTTTTCTAATATTTGATACTTGGATGTTTACCTATTTCAGACGAGCAATAAAGCAGTCCTTAGAAGAAAAGCCACTAGCAGTCTCCATTCCTTACTTCAAATACAGACTTTCTAAGTAGCCAGCAATATCAATTTCTGATTTACTGAAATGACTGGACTCCCAAATTGAGGACACAATATGAAGTGAAGGGGAGTTTAAACCTGCCGGACCTTGTGGTCTTTTCCCACATGATGTTTGAGGAAACACAAAGTAACATTTCTTCCCTCCTTTTTGCATTGGGCTTTTCTACAGGCTCCTTTTGTGCATATATTGTTGTCAGGTCAATGATGACATGTTCCTATTTGCACACTATAGAGAGGAAACATGATTCCAGATTTCTTAGGTGTAATATAATATGAACTGTCAGTCTGGAATAGTACTGCAGCTGACAGGATCCTGGATCCCTGGGAATGTGTGGTTTAAAAGCCCTTTTAGGTTTTAGAAGGAACACACTTGACTGTCCCCCAGATGGCGCTAGGATCAGGGTTGGTCTCCAGAAAGACCAAGCCCCCTACCTCCCACCTCCAAGGTAGAGAAAAGAGAGGTGCGAGAGATTAAATCAACCACCAGTAGTCAGTGATGGAACTTCCATTAAAAAAAAAAACAAAAAACTAAATGGTGGTATTTAGAGAGCTTTCAAGGGACACCTAGAGTTGCTGCAAGGGTGCCATGCCCAGCAATGGCATAAGAGCCACCAGGCCTCCCTATCTGCATCTCCTCCCTTTGGTTATTCCTGAGTTAACATCTTTATAATGAACCAGTAAGCATAAGTAATCTAACTTCCTGAATTCTGTATACTGTTCCAGCAAGTTATTGACCCCATAGAGGTGGTCATGGAAACCCCAGCTTATAACTACTCAGTCAGAAGTCTGAGATGCCTGGGGCTTGGGCTAGCTTCTGACATGTGGTCTTTCAAGACTGAGCCCTTAACCTGCAGCACCTTATCCAACTCAACCCATGGTGTCAGTGAATAGGAGAAATCACATTGGAAAAGATACTGAGTATTTGGTACCAGGAGAGAACACCCCTCTAAAGGGTGTCAGAAGTGTTTCCATTTGGTATCAAGATGTTTGTTGTGTTCAGTGTCTGATATAAAGCAAGTGCTGTGAGTACATTTGTTAAATATACTGGAAGGCAGTTCTTTTGGCTTCTGGACAGGGTGGATTAGGGACTGAGTCAATATGATGAACTTGCTTGCAGAGCTCAGGAGGTGGGATGAGTCCCCTAGAATGAGTCACACCCAGTCTGCTGGGTGCACAGCAGAGGAATCTGCCAGAAATGAGCAAGGGGCTAATTCTTCAGTCACTAGGTTAACTTCCTGCTTCCCCTCTGACCTGAACAGCACCCCTAGTCACTTGATCCCCGGTCTCCTGCCTCCAACTCAGGTCTTAAAAATTTTACCGAAGTGTGAAGTGCGCTTGGACAGAGTCATCCCAAATAGCTGGGGCTGGCAGTAGTAATTCTGGTAGCTCATGTTAGCCCCTGCAGCAATCCGACCCAAGATTGTGCAAACCATCTCATTGTAAAATTGAGAAACACCAGCTTCTGCTTACTGATTTTGAGAGAGGAAGTGTCTCAGGACAAGACAGGAATGAAGGATAAAAATTTTCTAAGAATTTTGCTGTTCCCATGGGCTGGTAGACAAGAGGTTAAAAACCTGATGACTTAGGCCTGGACACCTGCTGCCATAAATTTCCTTGGTTTATATGTTCTTTTGTTGGCTTTGTTTTGCTTTTTCTTTTTCACTAATTTTCCCAGCCTGGGCATTTCTGAATGATTTTCCCACAGTTTATCAAGTTTGGCTGCTTTGGGGAAAAGGGTAGTTAAAATATTCAGAAGAAAAAGGGAGTCACAGACTGGAGTGCAGATCAGAGCCTCCAGGAGATGCTCCCCTGGAGGTGGTCAGGAGCCCCGCAGGACCCCTGAGCTGCAGCTGATGGGTGCCCACACTAGCAACAACAAATAGACTTTATCCAAGGCCACTCTCCTTGCTTTCTCAGTCAATAACGTGTCACTCCTTTGTTCTCAAACCCCAGTTCTAAATCTATATAGCCCTCTGCCCCCACACCTCCCAGAGTGTTTTGTGTCAGAGAGGTCTCCCTGCAGCACTCTTTTCTTGCTCTTTCATTAATGAATACATCCTGACTCTGGTGAGAGCCACATTACCCACGTTGTATGACAAGGTCCTGACGTGGGATAAAATCCTGAAATGTCAGAATATTCTACAGCTGGTTCCTGCTAGATTCTTTTTGTTTGTTTATGGCCGTTTCCAAGAAGTATGGTTTGGTTTTGGCCATTCCCAAAAAGCATGGCAATTGTTCAAATATACATTCAATATAAAAATCAATAATTACTTTATGATTGACTGGATTGATTACTATTTCAATAGCATTGTACACATAATGGTATGGTATGTTGTAAAATAATATTCTTCTGCTTGAAGGTGCTGGCACAAATCTAGGTCCCACAAATAATGAGAGACATGTTACAGTCCAAGAATTCTGGGAACCAAAGGCTGAAATCATTTCCTGCCCAATCCTTTTAAGTAACATAGTTTTTAAGTAACATAGTTTTCTTTTAAGTAATAGAGTTAAAAATAAGTTTTTCTACTCTTTTCTTTAACTTTCACCCCAACCTCTTTTCACATAGAAAGGTTTTTTAGATAAGATTAATAGGATAATAATTAGTGACCATCCAAAGAAAGAAATTTTCCCGTAATTCTTATGTTATATATAGAGACTAGGTTGACAAAACAATTACAGAAATAGTGATTAATAGAAGCTCCTTTTATAGATCAAAAAAGCGATTTTTCCTTAGGGACAGGGAAATGTCAGTGCACTCAGCGTTGGTGTTTTTCTGACTCCTAGTTCCTTAACATTAGATCCTGTACATTTAGAATGCATGTTCATTGAGATATTAACAAAATGATTGCTTAAGTTGTAATAGCTGACTGATCACCATAGGAATATTTTGTTTGATGACTGATCACCATAGGAATATTTTGTTTGATGACTGATCGCCATAGAAATATTTTGTCTATTAATGACTGATCACTATAGGAACATTTTGTGTATTACTGTACTTTTTATTAATGAGTGATGAATATCACAGTCTCAATAAAAGTTCAAAAAGACCCGAGCTGTCTTTAAGAAAAATGTGATGATTGTTACACTGATGTAATCCCACCACTTGCTTGTAATGTGTAAATAAAGACTTGCTGAGACAATCAGCAGAAGATGCTTTTACCCTGATCAAGTGTCCGCGTCTCCTCATTTCTCTCACCTTTTCCTTTCTTACCTTGGCTGATGCAGTCCTTTCCTACGGGAGACCCTACCTCAGCAGGAGCTGGATTTCAGCATGACCCTTGCCTGCCCCCACCAGTGTCTGGATTCTTCTTTTCAATCTCTACCATAGGGTCTTGCTTAGGAGCTGGGCCCCTCAGTCCATCCCCCTGGCTCCTGGCAGGTAGAGCAGTGGACAGGGTGGCAGCAGGTTTGCTGCTCACTTACCTGTTTGTTGTGTGTATAGTGGGCGGAGAGGGGGACTGGGATGGGGCTAAAGGCCCTAGGCCTTTTGCCTTGCCCAGTGACAATCATAGTGTTAAGTGTGACCAGATGGGCAATACCACAATGACCTATTGCCCGGAACCGGGCCTTGCATTCAGGTGTAAAGCGCCACTAAAATAAAAACTGAACCTAAAGCCTATATAAGAGACTCTTCCCCTTACAGCACTCCAGTAGCCGCAGACCCCACCCTCGGGAGCTCTGTCTCAGCTGCTGCCCGGGAGCAATAAACTCTACCTTTCAGCTTTTCTGTCTCCTTATTTCTTCCTTGTGGCTGGTCACAGAAATCAGGAGTAAACACATAGCGCTCTTTTTGCAACAGTCCTGGGGTTCCCAGAGGTCCACCCCAGGCCCCCACAATATGACTGAAGTTGAGTCTGGTTCATTGATGGGCAGAGAATGGACAAACTGGGGAAACATGATGGGTGACTGAAGCATTTGCTATATTTTCAGATTTTTTTTAAATCAGTAATTCACATTTGCATAATTATCAGTGGTCTTTCCAGTTAAATTATTATACCAGAAACCCTTTCTGAGCGTGTTTTTGGTAGTTCTGCAGTGTCCAACATACAAGAACTAATTTTGGTATTAAAACACAATTGTTTCTAAAAGCACAAATTTCAAATAAAGGTAAGCTGTTTGGGCACTGGTTATGTTATGGGTATTTATGTTTGTGAGAGCACCTCAGTGGTTTATTAATCATGACACAGATGAAATGAGGAAGCCAAGGCTCCAGGTTAGAGCCTGCCCCATCATATCAGTGTATTGCTTGATTCTGAATTTCTCTCTTTAAAACTTGAAGTCCTTGCAAGTGACACTTCAGTGTAGTTAATGCCTTTAGAACAGTGCCTGACATGTAGTAGGCAGTTTATAAATACTTGTTGAATAAATAAATACCATCTAAAAATATTCAAGGATGCCTTATCTCAGATATTAGGAATGTCTAAGTCCATAGTACAATAATTCTTTTGGTATAATGTAGAACCGGAGGCTTATCAGACATAATTATCATTGCACTTCAGATTGTTTATTAAGCATTAAGTCACACTAAAGAACAATTTAAGGGCCATAGGTATAATCTCATAACAACAGATTGCCCTAGGAAGTATTTCAGTTATCCTGTCCCACAGCACTCACTGCTTAAGAGCATGAAAAACTATGATTTTTTTTTAATCACAGCCAAATAATGAATAAAAGCTATTCCACTCGATTAACTTTAAATGAAGCAAATAATATTTCTTCATTGATGAGTGACTGGATATAATCACAGCTTCTGGATGACTTTGGAGGAAGAAACGCGTGGCTACATACAAGCAGGTTTCCATGGAATCAGAATGATTTTTCTGTCATTCTGGTTTTCAGATATACTTCTTTTCAACTTTTGATCTCTATAAGAAACAAAAATTAACATACGGGTGTATTAAAAAATGAACAATCAGAATTTTCAAATGATTATCGCAATATTATGATTAATAAAAAATATATATTTTTCATGTGTCCTTGAGACTTACCTCCTGATTCATTAACTTCGAAATCCTCCTGTAGAAGGAAGAGTGAGCAGCAACATCAGAGCCAGTGGGTGGCGCTCAAAGCCAAGTCCTTGTAGAAGGAGGCGCTCAAACTGCCTCTTCCCGGCCCCAATACCCCTCCCCCACCCCATGATGAGAGATTGGGACAAGTGAGGTGATTGTGTTTATGTTATGTTTTTCGTTTTGTTTGTGTGTGTGTGTTGTTTTTGGTTTTGTTTTGTTTTTTGTAGTAAACTGTTGGGGCCTTGAGAGTTAAGCAACTGAGGTTATTGGCTATTAAGAGAATAGTGAAGGGTGGTGTGTGGAGAAGCTTCCAGTTTATCATGCAGGGCTGCAGATTGTCTTTCTAGGTTTCTGCTCAGCTGATACTATTGAAGATAGGACAGACTGCATCTGGCCATGGAACTGCCTGTAATTTCTCATTTTCTCTCTCAGCTCTCCCTTTTCTCCTTGTGTAAATAAATTTGTTATTGTTTCCCTTCATTGTCTGCTTTTGGGTTCTGTCCTGCATTTTTAAGAAGGGTGTTGAAGATGCACGGACCAGGTCAAACCCAGGAATTGCTAAGTAAAGAGAATAACAAATGTGTTTTCTTTTATGTGAATGAGGTGACTTGTAAATCCTCTGAGATGGAGCTGGTTGCCAAGGAAACCAACAGGGCCTCCCTTCCCCCTCAAGCCAGGGGGTGGGATGAAAGTTCCAATTCTCTGAACTTGGAACTTTCATCCCACCCCCTGGCTTGAGGGGGAGGGGAGGCAGTGGGTAACCAAAGGGACAAGTTCAGAGTTTCCAGGTTACTGAACACCTAAGTAGCAGTTTGGGGGGAATTGGCACACCTGGGGAGGGCACGGGACCTCTTAACTTTGTCCCAAGGCTTATCATTTGGTTGTTTCTGAGGTATTGGCTTTTATTAAAATAACCCACTAACTAGTGATAAAAATGTTTCTCTGACTTCTGGGAAGCCCCAGCAAATTAACTGGGCCCAAGGGAGGGATCTGTGGGATCTCCAGGTCTCTAACCAGTTGATCAGAAGCACAGGTAACAATGTGACCCCGTGACTGGTATCTGCTGTGGGGTGGGAGTATTGGACCTGTATTGAACCAAGCTAACACCATTTTGTGCTAACTGCCTTTTCTGCTTCTGTATCCTGCTTGCTGCTTGCTGAGATAGGAAATTCCCCAAATAACTTTGCTGTAAGAGGAAGAAAACTTGTAAAATTGATTACCATCTTCAACAAGACCAGGACACGGGTCATATGATCCTAGGGCCTACTGCAAGAATGTTATCTCTGTAACAACTGTAACAGTGTGGCGTAGGAAAAGGGGAAGTTCCAGGTTCCTTGCCCCACCCAGAAGGTGGGTGGAGCTGAGCAGAATAAAAGGAGAGAAGAGAAGGAAGCTGGATAGAGAGGCAGAAGGAGACCTGAGGAAGCCACATGGAGCAGCAAGCATGTGATGAAGAAGCCATGCTTGTTTCCTGACCCTGGACTGGTTAAGGCAGATGTGGGTGAAATACCAGTAGGGAGGTGACTATGGCAGTGTTTACATTGATTTTTATTTTGCTCTTTTCCTCCCAGATTTGTCTGGCCACTTCTGACCCTTTTCCATGGGTCCTGACCAGAAGGTACTTTAGTCTTGTGGCGGGCTTTCAGGCCTTGCTTTGGGCCAATTCCTTTTGGGTTGACTTTTGCCCATGAGGGGATGGGTAACTTTAGGTGTATGATTTAGAAATTATATTCTTTGTGTTCTGTATTGTATAGTCACTGTATTAAAGTCCCTTTTCATTAAAGTTTTATATGTTTTGTCTTGACACGGCGGATGGCAGAACCCACTTAAAGCAGGGGCTTCAGGGGTGTCCCTCTCTCCCTGTCCTGAAACAGAGAACCCACAGACAAGCAACCTAATTCACATTGGGGTGTCCCATAACAGATTTTCTGTCCTGTATCAGATTTGGAGGGCCTGCAACACAACTAAGTTTCGTTTCCTTGCTTGTAGTGTATAAAAACTGGTTTCTGTAACTGCCACACTCTCTAGAGGGTGTTGGTCCCTGCTGGCCGGTATTCTGAAGCCCAAATTAAATCTTGAATCTCTGTCTCCATGTTGCCTGACTGCTTTCTTCCAGCGGCTCCAAGAGGAGCTATCTTATGAAATAGTCCTTAATCCAACTGAATTGAATTGTAGGAAAGCCAACTAGTGTCCTGTTCTGGAAAATAGAAATAGTTCCTTCTTTCTTTCGGAGATATGACCATAGATTTGACATTATAACCTCAAATAAACACAAGTAAAACCAAGGTATTAAGATTTTCATTGCACTAATTTATCTAGCCAAAGCTTATGGTTTCTTTTATACCTTTTATATTAAAAAATATTTAATCCATTCTTTTGAACTGATAACAAGCATAATGATGCCACAGTTCCTCTGACTTTTTTTTTTTCTTTTGAACTGATAACAAGCATAATGATGCCACAGTTCCTCTGACTTCTTACAGACTTATGCCCTCCTTTCTGATAATTTTCAAAGCAACTTATGTGGGCAGATGGAAATAGGAGCCTATGGTACCCCCTGCTGAGATACATGTAGACTGAAGGTTGTAGAAATGCTTATCAGGAATGTTCAGCTAGTATGTTTTTGCTTTGCATGCATCTTCCAGCAGCTCTCTCCCCATATCCACACACATTCTTAGCTCAGAACAATGCAATAATTTGAAAAAAAGGAGCCTCTCCCCAGGACTTTCCAGAGATACTCATGATATTGAGTGGGAGTTGGCTCTGGGCAGGATGACTTCCCAGTGATGAACAATGAGTCTTTTAGAAAGGCCATAGCAGGTAAAAGACCTGGTAGGTCAGGACAAGCTTTGGCCAAGAAGGTAGATGTTTGACATTGCCAGTCAGAAGTCATAGGTAGACCTCCCATAAGTAAAACACAGTTTCTAACTTTTGATTTTTTTTTTTGAGTACTATAATATTTCAGGTATTTATAATTAAAGTTCAGAGTAAAGAAGATAGAACTGTATGCAATCAGTAAAATAAATAAGACACTGAGGGTCTAGATCTCTCAGTAGATTATGGTAAGTGGGCAATGGGGATAAAAAAGAGGTCGGGAATTAAGGGAGATGATCACAAGGCCCCATCTACCACCTGCCTCCCCCAACATGGGGTGAAAAGACAGAAAAAAAATAATGGAAGAAAGTAGAAAAACTCCAGTGGGGATGGCATTCTTATCACAACCTAATATGGGGGATTTAAGGTGGATACAACTCCTCTAGACATCATTTTAAAGACCCTTCCTGTTGTCAATCCTGCATCGTTTCCATGTGCTGCCTATAAGTTAACACTGATGATTTCAGGGTTTCCATGGCCTGCAGGATGAATCTTCACAAACGTGAGAAGCTTAGTAGTCCAGAAATTTCTCTCTATTGTCTCAGATTGGACAGAAAAACATTCTATCTTACTCTTTTAGGAAGAAACATGCCATGCAGTGTTGAAGCAGGAGGTAGCACTTACCACGGTCTCTCACTTTTGCTCCTATTCTGCTTGAAGCAGGTCTGTCGCCAGCTCCTTGATGTGCTCCCAGGCAAGCTGCACGTGGGCAGACTCCACAGTGCGAGAGCAGATGGCAAAACGCAGCACGAATTTGTCTCTGAGGTGACAAGGGACCAAATGGATTTTTTTGGCACTGTTTATTCTTTCCAGAAGAGCTTCATTCAGTTTGTTGGAACCCTGAAGACATTCAGAGGAGACACTCAGATTACTGAAGACTCCAAATTCTACTCATCACAAATGAAGACTTGAGTTTGGCAACTCTACAACATACCAAAGAAAGAAGCCAGAATGCCACTTGTCTTTCACTTAAAAAGTGAACAGTTCATCTAGGTAGTGTGATGTGACTCAAGAGACTGTAGCCTCTCCCTACAAGATAATTTCTTTATGTTCTATCATGCAGTCAAAAGAGGACACTTCTGTACAAAAACCTACTCAAAATGGATAAAAGACTTGGACATAAGACCTGAAGCCATAAAATATATAGAACAAAATATAGGCAGAACTCTGCATGACATACATTCAGTAGCATCTTTAAAGACACATGCCCCAAACAAAGAAAATGAAGGAAAAGGTGAGCAGCTGGGACTACATCAAATTAAAAGGCTTCTGTACAGAAAAAGAGACAATCAAAACTAAGAGACACCCCACTGACTAGGAATTTTTTTTCATACAATACTATTGATAAGGGACAGATTACAAAGAGCTCACACAATTCAACAAAAACAAAGTTAATGACCCAGTCAAAAAATGGACAAGGAGCTAAAAAGACACTTCTCCAAAGAAGAAATGCAAATGGCCAACGGGTACATGAAAATGTTGAACACACTTGTAACCAGGGAAATGCAATCAAAACCATAGTGAGATACCACCTTGCACAAGTAAGAATGGCATATATCAACAAATCAGAAAACAGCAAATGCTGGCAAGGATGTGGAGGAAAAGGAACTCTCCCTCACTGCTGGTGGGAATGCAAACTGGTGCAAGCATTATGGAAATCTGTGGAAGTTCCTCAAAGTACTAAAAATGTAACTTCCATGTGACTCAACAATTCCACTCCTAGGTTTCTACCCAAAGGAAACAAAAACATTAATTCAAAAGGATATCTGCACCCTTATGTTTACTGCAGCATTATTTACAATAAGTAAGATATGAAAACAACCCAAATGCCCAAATGACTATGTCAAGAAGATGTGCTATATACACACAGTGGAATACTCTTCAGCAATCAGAAAAAGATAAACTCATACAATTTGCAGCAACATGGATGGAGCTAGAAGGGGTTGTGCTCAGTGAAATAAGCCAGAAGGGAAAACATATATATATATATGGATGATTTCACTTATAGGAGGAATGAGGGGAGCCAAATAAGGGATTGGAAAGAACAATAATTATAATAAACTAAACACCAAAATTAACAGGCAGCTATTAATCAGAGACACTGCAGGAGAGAGGGAGGAGAGAGATCAAAACGGGGAGGAAATGTGTTCTTACATAACTATGGTGATGGTGCATTATTAAAATATTGGAATGTTGCTTGTGGTTAGAAACTAACAGGATGTTGTTGAAGGCCCTGGATGTTATCAGAAGTCCAGGCACCAGGAGGACATTGCTTGAAAACTAACTGAATGTTATCAGAGGCCCTGGATGTTGTCAGAAGCCCAGGCGCCAGCAGGACATGACTTGCAGTTACCACCTGCACGAAGGAGGATCTGAGAGTGGCTCATCCTAATGGACTACGTACTTTGGAAATTTCCCAGTCCTCGAATTTCACTATATAAGACCCTCTGTTCAGAGGCTTGGGGTCCATCCCGTCTGCACAAGACCGCTGTGTTGGTACACTCCAGAGATCGGACCCTAGCCCGGGCTAGCAATAAAGGCTTGTACTTGTCTTTTGCATCGGTTCTGTGTCTCAGCATTTCTTGGACTCTAACATTATGGGTGTATTGGTAGTGGGAATTTTGCAGGGATTACACCTGAAAAGAGAAAGCATGCATTGTACAAAAAGGAAGAATGATGTAAAAAATGGTTGTTATGGAGGTAGGAAGTGAGCTGTGCTGTCTGAGTAACACGCATCCTTCATGCACCAGAAGCCACAGGTTCCACAGCAGAAAACTTGTGTCAGCTAAAGAGAACCCTGGACTTCTGAAAGTGACTCTCCATGTCACACAGAGGAGTGGTCAGAGAGCACACACATGGGGGTTTGGCGTCGCCATGAATTATAAGAAGTTTAACCTTTGCATGCTAAATGAAAGAAGCCTGTCACAAAAGGCAAGACAGTGATGGGCCCATTTATAAGATGGCCCAGAAGAGATAAAGACCAAAACCAGATAGTGGGGGCTGCTAATGGGCAGGTGGTTTCTTTTGTCGGGGACAAATATGTTCTAAAATTTGATTCTGCTCAAGCCCATGGATAGGCTAGTATATTAAAATATACTAAAATTACTAAAATCTACACTTCAAACAAAGTATATGTTAGGGAAACAGTATCACAATTTAACTATTAAAATTTTTATACGGAGGTCCTAAAAGAACACTCGTAAATGTAAATGCAAAAGCAAAACAACTGTTTGGTGGTAGACATGGCTAAACAGGACAACGTTGGGTGATTCCATGGAACAGGCACTGGGACGTCAGGGGTAGACACTGCTTCCCATGTCTTCCCAGTGCCTCGTTTCTGTGCCTCTGCACACTCTCAACTCTCTCTACTTTATGCTGAGACAGCTGGTACATCCCCACCCCTACCATACTGCCAGCTGGATGTCAGCATTCTACTCTCTCTGTGTTGCTTCTAGACTTTTCTGTGACTGGTTGTCATCACCTCAAGGCTCCAAGTATTATGAGAGAAGGGCATGGAAAAGGAGCCACATTTCTCTTGGCAACACCTTGACCATGCTACTGAGTCACTGTTACCTCTCCTGATGCTCTTCTTGGACTTAAACAGGAGCCATGTAGAGGGGAGATCCTATCCTGTGAAAGCAGACTTGGCTAGAGGGAAGTCAGGTAAAAGGCGATAGTCCAGACTCATTCTACAAGGTAGATTCATAAATGGCATATGTGCTGATCAGCCTGAGGTCCTTTCAATAAATTCAGTCAAGGATCACACTAAGTTGGCCCAAGACCTCAGCCCTCCAAGCTCCTCTCACAGAGCACACCAGTCACCAGGTAGCCACAGACCAGCCCTCCTCGACCACCTGGAAAGGGGGCTATTAGGGTGCAGGTGGCATGTCTGGGCTGGGGTCTGAGACTAGCATTTCTCACTGTCTCCCAGATGATGCTGATGTTGTCCACGACGATACTCTGGGCAGACATAGAAGCAGAGATGTGCAGAGATGTCTGGATGGAGAAAAGGCTGAGGACCAAAGAGCTATATGACCAAGAAGCTTAAAGGACACCCAGGGAACAGTGAAGAGGACACAGAGAGAGTGTGACTGTGCGCAGGAAATATTTGGGAGTCAAGTGGGGTCAAGACCAGGAAGCTTAGAGAACATACTGGAAATACAAACTGGGTGTTTTGTCTCTGGGGAGCAGAGGCATATTTTAAACACAGAGGTTATAAAGGATAATTTCCACTTTATTACAAAGAAAATGAAGATGAGTGGAATTGACTCCAACCTACCCTTAGCCGAAAGCAGACCAGACCCAGGGTGACTTCTGCGCAGATTTCAAAGCGGGGATCCTGCTGCACCAAAGACTCAAACTCATGAGACAGCTGGACATGCTTGAAGGGAAAGACGAAAATCTGTTTGAGTTTCTCATCTCCACTTAATTCTCAGCTTAACCATCTAGAAAACCTTATTAGACTGCATATCTATAATTCATTTATATGCTTTTAGCTATTTTCACATGTTTATGCCAACACTTACCAGCTGTTACCACATAGGTTGAGAAAAAAATATATTAGCATGGGGGAAGGGCCAGGTTCTTCAGGAAGACGTCAAGCACCGTTTTTTTTTTGTTTGTTTGTTTGTTTGTTTTTGTTCTGGGAATTGTTTTGTTCCACCAAAACCATTTCTTCTAATTTTGGAGTAAGCTTTGTGAAGAGGTATTTGAACATTCTAGAACAGACAGGCTAACATCTATGGAATGGCCCACAGTAACAACTGTGGAGTAGTCCACAGTAACATCTGTGGGGTGCTGGCTGAGGACAGAGCACTTTGCCATCATGTTATCTTCACGGCCATCTATACCCAAAATGGGCTACACCCATTTTGCAGATAAGGAAACTGAGGCCGCGAGTCTACTGTGTTGACCTAACTTCCATCTTCAGCTATTCTGTTCAGTTATTCAGCCACAGTGTTTATCATCAAGAGATGGAAATCAAATGTCATATTCAAAAACTGCCTTCTCTCAGAATAAGCTACCATATTTGATTTCTAAATGTTCATGGAGCTCAAAAGCTGACTCTTATAGTTTGTGATCTGAGAACAAGCTCTCACATGTTTTTCCCATTTAAAAATTCAGGCATCCTGCATGTACTGTCACTTGTGTGGTGCTCAGGGAGTTTCTAAGCACCAAGTGTCACTGCTAGAAGACTTATTAGGACTGAAATCTTATATAATAGGTTCAGTCACATAACAAACCAGCCACTAGAGGGACCCAGAGCCTCTGGCTGGCCTGTGATTCCAGTGCCAGGCCAAGGAGACATACAGCTGCTCAGGGAAAGCTTTGATCATCCAGCACCCACACAGGAATGGGGTCTTACTCAGAGTGAGGCACGGAGTATTTAAACATAAAAAACTCAATCACACCCAGTTGTTCATGGGCGTAAAGCTGAAATCAGTATGAAGAGACAAACCGTTAGTTTTTCTGCAAAGAAGCTTAGACCTCCCTCATGACAATGGGAAGAGGGGGATCTTTTACCCATAAACCCAAACACACACTTCTTTACTAGTTCTATTCCCATCGTGCTTACAATCCCACATTTATCACAATAGTCTTGGAAGGCAGGCACAGGTCAGCTGTGGCTTCTGGAGTCGCCGAGCCAAAGCTTGCAGACTGATGCCTTGCACCTTGCCCTGCCACAGAGGAGTGTCCTGAGGACATTCTGCCCTGCCCACAGCTGCACAGCTTCGGTACTAGGACAGAAGATGAAGGGCTGAGACGTCACTGTCACCGGAGTTGGAAACCAGGGCCTGCCCTGTTCCTGTGAAAACTGAGGGCTTCTGTGCACTCAGAGGAAGGAAGAGAATGCGAGCTATCATTGGACTTCAGTGGGTCTTTGCAGATAAACGGGTGGCCCTGGGCAAGTTGATGGGGTCTGGGATATACCGGTATTTCTCAAATTTTTCTTTCTCTCTTTCTTTCTTTCTTTCTTTTTTTTAATGTGTAGAAGAACTGGGGTGTTAGGCAAGAAGTGCAAGTGTTGAGCGTGTTCACCAGAAACAGAGAGGTGGCAAAACAGGCAGATGAACTGAAGTACACTGAGAAGGGGACCATCAGTCAAGACAGATGTCTGCTATGCCATATGTGGGTTAACTCCTGAGCCAGGGATCAAACTCAGGCCGTAGTGCTGCCAGCACCGAGACTAACACCTAAGCCACGATGGAGGCTCCCAGTTCTCAAATGTCAAAGCTTATCATGGCTAGTGCATTTACCAGTCCAAACGGAGGCTGCTAGGATCCTCAGGAGACCAGCAATACACACACTGAAAGTTGGGGACTTGTTTGAAAACCACAGAGAATCAAACCACAGGACACCTACCACCACTCAACATAGAGATTCTCCTCTGCTGGAGAAAAGCCTGTTGTACGCTCACTAGTGCCACTGTTGCCTGGGCCTGGCTTCTGTGAGTTGTGGCTCAAGAATCAGCTCTGCAGTGTGAACTCTGTCATCATCTCCCAGAGCTCTTAACTTACACTCTCCATGGAAGCATCTAAAGGGTCACAGTCAAGCATGTCTCTCCCAATGGTCCAAGCCTACTTTGACTACTTTTGCTTATCAAAGCATCTTAATTTGCTTCTAGAGGCCTCTGGTGCTCCCCAGATAAACAACAAAAAAACAGTCACCTTACGGATATAGGCCTGCAGGCCCTTGACTCCATACATCCTGAAAACAAACCACATCTTCAAGGAACGAAATCTTCGACCCAGCGGTAACTGCCAGTGCTGAAATAAAACACAGAGGAGGCCTGTGTGAGGAATGTTGGAGCAGCTTTCCTTTGTGACTTTGGGCCCGCCTGTCTCTCTTGGAGGCAGCCATTGCTTCCTGACAATCACCCCTCCAGCTGCCATGACCCAGGCGGTAGCAAAGCCAACAGCGCCACAAGCTGTGTAGACAGAAAGAGGTTTTCTTTGCAAAGCTCAGAAACAGACAGGAGTGGGCGCACTGGTTTTCACCGGGCTCACTCAGGGAGGGTTGTGGAATCCACAGCGGACTTGGACTCAGATACAAGGTGACAGACAGGGAGGATGTGCCGGCTCCTGGGGACCTTACAGCCCAGCGGGAGTGGGGAGTGGGAAGGGCCTGTCAGTGGCTTCTCTGCCTCCAGGGAGGAAGCAGCAGAAACCCACACCCTGTACTGCACGTTTCTGCTGATGTCTTGGCACCATTTTTTTGCGCACTTTTCTCTTCCTGCCCTATTAATGGCCATGGAAGTTGCCCATCCTCTCCCTAGAAAAGACATCTGACAATAGGCTGGGCCTCACATAAGCATTCCCTCTGATTTCCTAGATTTTTCTGTATTTGCCAATTGAGCTCCTCCTGCTGTGGACCTCTCCCATGGTCATAAATGTACTGATGCAAACAAAGGGTGTCAGGTGGGAAGGACACTGGGTCCATTTGAGGAAAAAAAAAAAAATAGTGGCATTATTGTGACTTTTTAAATAGTCCCAGTTCTTTCAGAGCTTATAAAGGAGACACAGAGGGTGACTTTCTCTTTCTCTCTTATTCCTGGCCCCTCTGCACAGAGCAGGGCTGAGACACAGGCTTCCTTTGGGGCAGCAGCACCCTCACCCAGGGCTGCCTGAGCAGGGTGGGCAAGGGGGTAATAACATTGGGGGGGGGGCTTCCCCAAAGGCATACCATTTCCTAACTGCAGTTGCAGCAGTGGGCCTGCACAGGGAGGCCTCAGCACAGGGTCCTCTGTTTCCACCAGGCGCTGCACTAGGTGGAGTTGTGAATTTATCTCATGACAACTGCTAGAAGCAGGGTTCCTTTTACTGAAGAGGAAGTGGGCAGGGAGAGGCTGTGGGACTCAACCAAACTCACAGAGCCCAAGAGTGGCAGAGCCCAAAGGCAGCCCCTGGAGCAGAGCTGTCTTTATTTGGCAGAAATTTATTTATTGTCTTTGAATTTGTGAGTTGTTAGGGATCTTCAGTAAAATAAGCTAACTTGAGTTTTTGGAAAATCAAAAAGAGGCATCTGTATCACCACACTAACTAAACAACCAAGGAACTAACACCTGACTAGTTAAACCAGGCTCTCTATCATTGCTCGGTCAGATGCCACCATCCAAAATCACTCCTCTCCAAGCTGACCTCGTGGAAATCAAAATGGGATTTAAAGCTAACATTTCAAGGAATAAAGGGAAACACGATTTCCACAGTTGAAGTAAAAATGCATAGTTCAACTGAGTACTCATTTAAACGTGGCCCTAAAATGTTGCCAACTTCTTCTGCAGTGGCTGGGCCAGAACAGGGCGTATTATTCCCATGGGAGCTTAGGTCATCAGTGTAGCCAGCCTCTGCCCATCCAAGACTGTATTTTGAAGGGAAAGAGACTCTGTCTTGTTTGCTGCTTTATTCCCAATTCCTCACCTGCTTCAGAGCAGCTATTCCCTGATGTCTATGGAATATTGACAATATGTTTAAATGACAGGAGAAAATCTCATGCACAGGTCACATTTTGATGTAGAGGACTGTTAGGATTCAGAACTTTTTGGAGTTCAAATGAGTGATTTTTAGGTATTTTCCCCTCCACCTTTGAAATTTAAAAAAAAACAATCTTCCATATTTTCTGTATTTTGACCCAATTTGGTAAGCAATCCAAAGGGCCTAGAACACAGTGTCTTTGTCCAAATAGCTTAGGGGTGAAGGAGCTGGGTGTGGAGCGCCAGAGGTAGCAATCAGAAAGGGCACAATGTTACTACCCACTACCTAAAATTGCAAATCTGGTTGGTTGCAGAAGGACTTGGCTGAAGGAGGAAGGTGACACTGTGTCTATGAGGAGGGGAGGGAAGGTCCAACATTCATAACCCCAGACTGGAGCCCCAAGAGTGTCCACATCCAAGCCTCGGAGCCAGGTTCCTCCATGCCTCTACCACCCCCCGTTTTCATTCCTGTTGGTGAGTATCTATGACCTACTATTTTGTGGGAGTGATATTCTGAGGACTAACATATATACATTAGTTTTTATGAGACCATAACACTCCCAAATAATCTCTCAAATCTCTTCAATCGATCCTTCCTAAAATACTTTCATTCACTCTTGGATGAACCCTGAAATATTTCCTGAGATATACTGTGCCACCCCTGCTATTTCCAGGGGGCAGCAGACTAGAGTGTAGTTTTCCCAGAGGACCTCACAGACCAGGTGTATGTCGGTGTATATCAAGGCAGCAGCTTCCACACACACCGAGACAGAAGCTGATGGGCCAGAGGAAGCTGTGTGCATCTCATGTGTATCTTATATGTTGCCCACTTATAATGCTGGGACTTCCTATCCTGAAGAAGGAGAAATGTTATAAGGAAGAAGCTGGAACAGCAGACGGCTAGCAGAGGAGCTGGAGATTCCCTTAGGACAGAAACAGTCATCGGAGAAGAGGAGATGTCTTAGATCTGGGATGGCTGTTCCTTTGAGTATCCAGTCAGACAGAGCCTGTCATCTCAGAACTTCTTATGCCCTGACTCTTCATTCTCCCACACCCCTCTGGGCGCCAGCTCCCTGCACAAAGACAGAGGATGTGACCTAAGGACGGCACCTTTGATACCCAAGGAGTCAGAGTACTCAAGTTTCTGCCCCTTCTTGAGGACGGTAAGACCACTTTTTAACTTAGACTGCAGTTGAAGTTTCAATAGAGTTGCCCCTGCCTCATCTAGTGTGCTAGTTTATAACTCGCTAGAAGATGTCTTCTAGCATTCCAGCTGTTAGGGCTGCCAGCTATCTGCATTTTGGATTACCACAGACTTGGGATTCCCCCAGAAAAACCTTCCACTTACCCTGTAGTCAGTGATCAGTCCTGGAAGAGAGAGAAAGAACACAGAAAGCATTAGACATCTGTACTGATGTGTAAACCTCATCTTCTTGCATCCTGCCCATCATCTCCTGAGCCACACATTAAACTATTGAGGCCAGGGGCTGGGGCCTTTTCCCCCCTCCCCAAGTGGTAGATTCCACTGTGGCCTGTGAGAGCAGGGTGCCGAGAACACACATGAGAGGTGATGGATTATGAAATTATATTATTCATTTCACTTTCCACAGTTTATATAAGCACAAATAGCTGAGATCGTACCTAACATCCAGCAAATTGGCATTCAGAGTATATAAAGATTTCATTATTCAGTCGTGCATAGCAAAGTAAATTTGTGACATCAAGAGTATTTAGAACACACACACTCACACACAAACATCCACATATATAAAATCACACTTCTGATGAGAGTGTGTCATCGTACTCTTGGATCTTAGCACGGAGAAGACTGATGAGTAACCTTTAAGTCAAATTCATAATCCTGGATTCAAGAGATTCACAGAAGTTATGAAAATAGCTCACTTGCAGTTAGTTTCCCCTTGTGCCCAGAACAGTAAGTCTCAGCTCATTTGGGGAAAGAAGTCTGGGCCAAGAGTTCATAGCTGGGGGTTTCTATGTGGTGGTTCTGGGCAAGGAATCAGATGGAATTACAAACATGAACTGCAGTCATTTTTTGGACATCTGATCACCTCATATAGCCCATACAAGATGCTTTGTAACTCATACGCACCTCCATTTCTCGGGTAAGAACAGCTGTGGCATGGCCATAGTAGTTTGTCATCATGGGCCAATCTACCATCCACCTTTGATCCAATGTGCAGATTGGCCTATTTATTTTTTCAAGAATACTGAAAGTCTTGTTATAATTCCTTGACTCTCATCTGGTTGGGAGATACAGGTCTTTTCTCACATAGGATCATAAAATGACCAAGATGGAAGAACATGCAGGCTCTACCTTCTGCTTTCATGAATGACCCTGGAAGGAAGTTCAAGGTTCCACAACCTGTGTCAATTCCCAACCAGTGTTTTCCTCTTTACACCATATGGGATAGAGTTGGTAAACATTCAACAGTAGAGTCTTTAAAAATGACCTCACAGGAATTCATAGACACAAACATAAATAAAACAGCAGCATCCAAAAGAGACTCTCAGGAAAATTTGTTAAAAACCTAGGAGATGCTGTGACTGAAGATAAATGCAGGACCCTCCATTTAGGTTCTAACACTTTTCCATCTACTCTGATCACCAATAGCTAAATGTGATTATTTAAATTTAATTAAAATTAGACATTGATTTTTTTTCAACTGGACTAACTACTCTTCAAGTGTTCAGTAACCACTGGCGACTTAGTGCCGGCCATGTAGTGTAGCACAAAACTTCAGTACAGGAAATCCTTGTGGATGGTACAATTAGTTTAGGTAAAAATATTTGCATATAGGAGTACTTATAGCCAAACCACCTAATTACTGAAAGATGGATTCTGCTCCTCAGTAAACCTGCTTTCTGAAGGACTGTCTGGAAAATTGGTTCAATTAGGAGCATTCTTGCACAGTGCTTTCTGTCATTGTAGAGAATCCCAGAGTTGTCTTCTTCAGCAATTTCCTATACTGAAGGTTTTACTTACACTGAGTACTTGACACATCTTATGAGCCTAGAAAGTCTCTACAGCTATGAAATATACATGTGGGAAGAGCCACTTCCTCGTTTGTAAGTAGTATACAGTAAAAACAATAAACCCAATGTATAAGAGAAGACTGGCAAAATACAGCCACTTATTAACAACATTTGCATTTGGATGGGGGGTTATGGGAACTTTCTGACTTGCTGTTCATTTTCTAAATGTACAGTTTTTATATAAAAAACATATCTGAAAAGCCTATTGGGTATAGCCACTTTTTCTTTCTTGTGAAAGAAATTTGTTAGAAATTTTTTCCTCCTTCATTTTGGGTTCTAGTTCAAAGTCTATCATTGGTTATTTATGTTGGCAAGAGTCCAATGAAACAACATATGCAAAAGGAGAAAACAAGCATAGGGATGTGTTAGACCCCCAATCACTGCCACTGTTGTCCCTGATGTTGCCACCACAGTCATCACACCTGTCCATATTGTGCCCTCAGGGGCACCAGTCAACCTCCAGGGGTCAGAGGTTCTAATGGGAGAGAAGGAAACAGACAGCTAACTGATGAGCAACCTGGCTGTGCACTAGACTTACCGCTATGAAGGAGCAACTGAGGCACTAGTGAGAGGCCACTGTTTATAAGAGGGGGACCTGGGGGGACTGAACTACCATGTAAGAAGAAGACATCTTGAGGTATGAGGTGTGAGGTGGGGGTAGGTCACCAGGGCCACATGGGTAGTGTGGGCAATTTTATTTCAGTAGTTAAATAATAAAACCTTTTAATTGAATGAGAAGGGTCATAAATACACTGTAAGCATATTTTCAGTTCAAACTGAAGAGGAATTAATGGCCCTAGAATGAAATTCATCCAAACAAAATATATCTTTATATACCCAGAGGATAACTATTAAATTGTAAAGTTGATTTTTGGTGATCTGCTTAGAAAAAACAACATAGGTCACTGCTTGTGTTGATTAATGGATTTTTTAAGGAAATATGCAGAAACAGATTTTTTTTTTTAGTCTCAAATAACCACAGCAAATATCTCGATAGGAAACAGATTTTCTATAAAAGCGGAATAAAATAAAATTGTGTGGATTTTTTGTTTGTTTTTTTAAACTTGGGACCAATAAAGTTTACTCATTTGTCCTTGGCTTAAATCCACTCTGAGCATTCCTTCATTGTTCTTGAACATACTCTTTTGCTATTTTTTCTGTTTATGAAAATTCAGTTTGATTTAAATATCATTTTTTTTCTTTTTTCCTTTTTTAACAAAATATCAGAAACCTCAAAGTCACTCTCAACTTCTCCTTTTCCTGTGGATTTTCCCATAATTATTCCTTGAAACTCTCTTTAAAGTTTTTTTTTTTATTGAAGTAACATTGGACTATAATACATATAGGTTTCAGATACAAAGACTGTATATACTACATGAATTTCCCCACTACGCCTATGACTCCCTTATCTCTAACTCAGGTACCATCATCCCAGGTCAGTCTTTGCAGGAGACATCTAATGGTCTGTTGCTTTCATGTGGAAACAGCTGCTCCTCAAATTCTATTCACATGGTTCCTGCTGGAGATTGCACATTCCTATTTAACTTTGCCCATCTATTTATGGTTGATTGGTGTAGGGGTGGTCATTTGTGCCAAACTGGACCAGCGAGTTCTTCTTATCTTTTTTATTCTTAAGGCCAAGAGAGGAAGGTTAATCTTTCTTCAGGGACAATTGATATTTAATGTAAAGCATAGAAGCTGTAGTTAGCCATATGAACTACCATGTGGATCAGAGCAAGAAAAAGCAACCAATTCAGCAAGTAGAAATAATGAGATAAGGCAGAAGAATTACACTTTTCTAGCTTCTTCTAAAACTAGCTTATCATTTATGTGTTCAGTTGCAAGTAATTAATACAGCTTAACCATGTGGGATTTTATTTTCTTTCCATTTAAAAGAAGTTAGGAGACACAAATTGCAGCCCTTTTAGGTTATGACATGAAATGTCATAAAGAACCAGGGTCCTCTGTCTCCCTGTTCCACCATCTAAGATTTGATGCCTCAATGGCTGTACCTTCTGGAGTCTACATTCTTATCAAGAAGAGAAGGAAAGGACAAAGAACAACATGAAACAGGAGATAAGGAGGCAGTTTGGAAACTACCAAAGCAGGAAATGTCTACAACCTGTAGGGCTTAGACTCCAAAGAGGAGGTGGTGTTGACAGAGTCTATGAAAGGGGCCACTCACTGAGAAGTGAAACTGCCAAGGGCGGACTGCCCCATGGGAGCTAAAATAAGGGCACGTGACTGGTAAAATCTGGAACCAGAGAAAAGTCACAACCTATGTTGGAGATGATGCCTTAGAGATCCACTAAATCCCTTCCAATAAATGAAAGTAACCAGGTTAAGGAAATTTAGCAATATAATTTACATGAGTCACTCCTCTTCAAGACAGAGCCAATACATTTGAGGCTAGCACAATGAATAATGGTTTTAGTTCACAAGGAGATTTCCACATGTATTCAGATTTTTTTTTAAAGTTCACGTCAAAATTACAAAACTTTAAAAAATCAAAGTGTCACATTAAATGGATTTTCTTATCTGCCACTGATTACTATAACAGAGGCCGCGTATTTTATTTGCTTCCTCTTTGGACCCTGGCTCCCCCTCTTCCGCCTCACCCCTTTACCCCTGTTTAAAAATATAATTGATTAGTTAATTGATTGATTACTTTCTGCCACAACTTCTATGGGATTTTTGGAATGGGACATTGGCAAAATATATGCTCAGTTTAATATATTAAACAAAGCCACTTCACTTAATTTTTTAAAAGCCCTTGCTAGGCCCTCCCTGGTGGCGCAGCGGGTTAAAGCACAGTACAAAGAGGCTTAAGCCACTTCCGCATGAGTTCGATCCCCGCCTGCCCCGGAGGTGACCACATGGCGTGGCAGACCTCTCCTGGCCCGCCCGCTGCTCCCCTCAGCAGTGTGCTTCGTAGACCTGCCTGTTCTGCTCCCCACTCTGTCTCTGGTGAATCCTCTCATCCTCCACATTTCTGGCCTATACCCCAGTTCTGTACGAATAAATAAATCTTTAAAAAAAAAAAAAAAGCCCTTGCTAGTAGGGGAATAGTTGAAAGGAACACTTTAACTTTCATTATAATTACTGAGATTGTTATTACTCAAACATGAAATACATTTTTTTAAGTATGAGAACTTTGACAATGGGTTAATAAATTTGCATTGTTTTATGGCATTTCCATATATTTTAGACCACACTTATTTGTCAAGACAGTTTTAGGTTCTGAGTGGAATTGAGTAGAATCTTGTTTCTATATGTTTGCCTTGTGCCTGGGTGTGGAGAGACAATATCTCTACCCCAACTTTAGTCATTGCTGCTTCCATTCCTGCCAATGTCTTCAAAATGACATTTCTTGCCACTGGATCTGATTCCACATGAACAAATTAAGAGGGTGGGTCAAATAACTCCATTCCATGGTTTCCAGGGTCCCCAAGGATCCATTGCTATCTAAGAAAATGAAGATGGCCAAACTTTCACAGCGTAGCTCTCTTTTTCTCTAGAGGCTTCGCTGTGTCTCAGGTTGCTGAGTGGACACAATTCTGGTGGCTGGAGGGCTTGAGGTGACTCAGGTACATGTTCTTAGAGGCCCATTGTGGGAGGGGCAGCCAGCAGGTGGATGAAAGTGAGCCAACCTTTGTGGTAGCAGAAAGCTTGATTTCATGGTGGTATCAGTGCTATTTTTTTTCTATATACTTCATTGTTCATTTTTATACAATGTTTGCTTTTTCCTCTCAGGTGTAGTCCCCATGAAATTCCCACCACCAGTTCACCCATGAACCATCACAGAGCACATAATCCCTTGTGCTCTTCCCTCTCCTGTTTTGACCCCTCTCCTTCCCCTTCCCCTGTAGACTGTCTCTGATTTAGACTTGCTTGTTAAATTTACTTTTTATTATAATTATTTTCCCTGCCCCTTATTTGTTTCCCTATGGTCCTCCTATAAGTGAAGCCATCTAATATATTTTTTTCCTTCTGCCTTATTTCACTGAGCATAATCTCTGCCAGCTCCATCCATGTTGCTGTGAATGGAATGAGTTTCTTTTTTGATTGCTGAATACTATTCCATTGTGTATATATACTACCTTTTCTTGATCCAGTCATCTGATTTTAGGCATTTGGGTGGTTTCCATATATTGGCTATTGTAAATAGTAATGCAATAAACATAGAAGTTCACTGCTAAATTTTAAAACTAACCCTCTACTCCTTGCCCAGCAAGCAGGTTTGGGAGACTTGAATGCACAGAGGGAGTGGACTGGACTTCCATGGGAACTGGGCTGATGATCTGTTTTGCTAATTCAGATCAGCAGTCAGGATATACCCAAATGTAGTCACCCTAACCAATCAACGATACTTGGAGTGCAAATATGCCGGGACCCTCTCTGTGAAGATAGCCTTCCCTGTCTTCTCCTCTCAGCAAAGCATTTCAATAAATCCCTCTTTTCTATTCTCCATGTTGTCTTTTTCCACACCTGTACCTCCAACTTACATGCCAAGTCTTCCCCAAACATTGGGGGGTGCCTTATGTGTTCTATTTATCAGGACCTCAATTCGACAGCATGTATTTTTTCTTAATAGCTTTTTTCTTTCTTTCTTTCTTTCTTTCTTTCTTTCTTTCTTTCTTTCTTTCTTTCTTTCTTTCTTTCTTTCTTTCTTTCTTTCTTTCAAAGGAATCTGTACTATCTTAACTGGGAAGAAGTAGGCACTGGGGAATTTCACAGGAAAGTTGGACTCGAATGCACTAGTTTGGTTTGGAAGAACTGAGATGCATGAAGAATCCCTGATTACCCACTTGAGAAATGTCTCTGGAGATCTTCGTAGCTGCTCTCAGGTTACTTGCCCATTGCTTACCAACCAGACTTTGCAGGTGTCTGAACTGAAGCTTCATCCCATTGCTTTCCATCCCCCACTCAGCAATCTTCCCCCTGTCAACCCCCACCTCTCCACCCTCCTGTCCTCAGTGGAATCGATAATATGTGGAAACAAACTCTTCAGAGAGACACCAGACAGTCCTGATCTTGCTTTCTCTGTTGAGGTATCTGTCGGGATTGATAGCCATATGCCAATCTTCTCCCCTGCTGTTCTGGAATGGGAGCACCAACAAGTCCAAGGCCTTGCACCCACCCATCCTAGGGAGATCTTTGGGGACAGAACAATCCTTTCTGGCTCCCTGGCACTTTGGTGTAGCTCTGATGACAACAAAACTGGACAGAGACTACAGAAAACAAGGCCAGCAGCTTACCTGAATCCTGATGACTATGCTTCAGGTAGAGAGGGTCTAGTTTGAAGGCTCCAGTTAGGTCTGTTCTCTTTCTCACCCTGGATTTAGAGAGAGAATGAAGCTCAATAAGGATATGCCTGGGATGGACATTACCACCTATGTTGCCTCTATTCCCTCTTCATCTTTTCTCAGCTCAGCACACTAATTCCAGGACTTCTCCGTGAGCCTTAGTCTGCACAGATAGACCACTCCCCACCTCACTGTAGCATCTCAGTCACCTGTAGACCTTCAGATATTGGAAGTGTAATAAAGATAAATAGCTGGCCATTGTCTTAGCTTCCTGGCTTATGGCTCTTAAACCTTTGGGTGTCATGATGTGTGTGCCTCGCATCTATTGATGACATGACAGGCGCTGGCCTCAGATACCATCAAGAGGGAGGTGAGAGCCAAGAAAGCCCAAGAAAGTCTTAACTAGAATGGTAGAAGTTTTGTTTTTGTTCTTTTTAATTATTTTTTATTAAATTTAAAATTTTTCTTACATCATTGTTCATTTTTATACAGTAACTGATTTCTCTCCCATTAATCTCCCACCACCACACACCCTATGAACAGTTACCAGAGTCCCTTGTGCTTTTTTCTCCCCATGTTTTGATCCCTCTCCTCCCCTCACCACTGCTGTATGCCTCAGATCTATAGTTTGCCTTCAAGATTTGTCTCCTTTAATTGATCTTTTGTTTTGTTTCCCTATATTGATAATTTTGTTTTTCATTCTCAGTGCCACCCCTCAGCCCCCAAACTCTAGGAAAAAGAAACAGTTGGAGATTGAGTTAATTACCAAAGACCAATGATTTTATCAGTTATACCTATGGGATAAAATTGCCATAACCCCCCTAAATTGCAGAGTTCAGAGAGCTTCTGGGTTGTGAACACATCGTGACACAACCCCAAAGGACTGGAGAGCTCTGTATACCCCACCAAGGCCCACACATTGCCATACACATCTCTGCCATTTGACTGTTTGTTAACACCCTTTATTATAAACAAGTAAATGTAAGTGAAGTGCTTCCTGAGTTCTCTGAGTTGTCCTAGTGAATTGTCAAACCTGAAAGAACGGGGGGAGGGAGGGTGCGTGTAGGGACTTTTGTGCTTGTGGCCAAGTTGGATAAAAGTAGTGGGCCCAACCTGGGGCCCACTACTTTTGACTGGTGCAGATGAGTGGCCAGTCTGTAGGACTGAGGCCCTTAGTGTGTGAGGTCTGTGCTGACTCTGGGAGTGTCAGAATTGAACTGAGTTATGTGACGCCCAGTTGTGTCTGGAGCTAGTGCATTGACGTTGGAGGAGACAATTACTAGGCTAGAGTTTATCTTTCTGTCCTTCCCCAATTGGCACGATGCCTGGCCCTGGAAGGTGACACTAGTGCACACTGAGAGGACATGCTGAGAGGAGTGAGGAGCTGTGCCTGGCACTAGGCACGCTGTCCTCAGAGCTGTGTCTTTCCCACCTACTTGTCCCAAAGACCATGAAGGGTGATCATTGTTGCATTGTTACTGACAGCTCAGTTCCAAATTCTCCATTGGACTGGAACTGGAGGGTCTTGCAATTGCTTCTCTGCCTTATCTGGCAGCCTAGACATCATCTCAACACAGTATGTGTCAAATAGACTAGAGAAAAAATGTCAATGTGATTGTAGCTAAGATTTGAAGTCAAATATAAAATGAGAGTCCCTGCTTTTGAAAGCCAGCATGCATAAAATAAGGAGGCCAAGATATGACTTACCAATGAAGAGAGGGGCAAAAGAATTGGGTTTATTTATGAAAGGCAATTGAGGTGTTATTTTTTTCAAAGGGTTGAAAGACAGACCATGCCAGTGAGCAGTAGTAAGCATTATAATGTGTGCTGCTTATGACTTATGGCTCTTCCAATTCTTGGTGGGTATCATTGATTGTGTGAATGTATAGTCATTGTGGTGCACTTTTATATATCATTGGTATTAAATGAGGAACCAATGGGAGAATTTGATGGTTGTTCTCCATACTGGAAGATATCTGAGACTAACCTTAAAGGGAGGGGAACACAAAGAAAGAATGGGGTTAAAACTGGCTCTTGTAAATGAAATTCACATTTCTCTTCCCATAGACTATTAGCTATAACCTTTCAGCTTTTTTTAATAATAAAAAAAATGTGTTGGTAAACACCATGTTATGATTGGACTGATATATTCCTTGAAAGTTTGATAGAATTTACTGTTAGTAGAATTAGATATTTCTGTTGTATGAATTTAACTATTGGCACATCATCTTCAATGATGATGCCATTTTTCAGTTTTTCTATTTATTTTTGAGTCAGCTTTGATTACATACTTTGTAATTATTGAATATGTGCTGAGCATGTAGAATATTGAATTATAGGTAATTTGGGCAAGATGTTAATCATAATATCCCCCTCTTATTTAAAAAAAAAATTCTGTGTCTGTCATTACGTCCTCCTATTTCCAATAGAATTCATCTGTGTCTTCTCTATTTTTGATCCATTTTCCCCCTAATCATCTATGTTCTATCCCTGCCTACCCCAGAGGTGACCCACATGACGCGGCAGACCTCTCCTGACCCGCCCGCTGCTCCCCTCATTTGGCCTGTTCTGCTCCCTGCTCTGTCTCTGGTGAATCCTCTCAGCGCCCCTGAACCTCTGGCCTGTACCCTATTTCTATATGAATAAATAAATAAAATCTTAAAAAAAAAAAAAAGAGGAGAGGAAGAAGACTTCTCTGTTACATTGAAAGCATAGCTTGTTAAGTTTGTCTTTAAAATCTACACCACAGCATCTGGCCAACTGCATGAGGGCCAGACCACATCTTGGTACCAGAAACAGCTGGAACACATTCTAACTACTAAAGAGAATGGGCACAAAGAATAAAGAAAAATCAAATGGATAATAAAAATTGTGTACTCTTGTGTTTGCCTTGGTAGCACAGTGGAACATCACAGAGAAGATTAGCAAGGCCCCTGTGCAAGAATGACACAAATACTTCAAATTTGTGATGTATTCCATATTTTTTTTTACTTATAGGAGGAACATGGTAAAACCAAAGAAGAGGTCAGAAAAAAAGAGAAAAAACTAGGAGACAAATTATAAATCAGAAACATGTGGCAGGGGAGGGGGGGAAGGGGAAGGAACAAGACAGTAGAGGGAAAAGCATAAGAGATTATGGTGATAGTTCATGGGTGACATAGTGGTGGGAATTCTGTGGGGATTACATCTGAGAGGAGCAATCAAATATTGTACAAAAATGAACAGTGATATAAAATATATACATATTGGTTCTAAAACAAGTTCTAGACTCAAATCTTATTATAGCTAGAGTTTAAAAAAATCTTCCAAATTAACCAAAGCAAACAAACCCAGTCATCAGGTGGCTAGAAGAACTAAAAAGACACTTCAGCAAAAAGAAATGCAAATGAACAACATGCAAATGAACCAAAAATGTTCACTATCACTAATTGGTGCATTTTGACATATCATTGGAATTAAATGAGGAAACAGTGGAATAATTTCTTTGGGGTTCTCCATACTAAGAGAGATCTGAGCCTAACCTTAAAGAAAGGAGAACTAAAAGAAAGAATGAGGTATAAAATACAAATCAAAAATCTCTTTCTGGAGATGCCCCCAGAAAGAATGGGCCACATTAAAAATAAGAAACTGGAAACAACAAATGTTGGAGAGGATATGGAGTGAAAAGAACTCTCTCGCACTGCTGGTGGGAATGTGAATTTGTCCAGTCTCTAAGGAAAGCTATGTGAAGATTACTCAGAACACTAAAAATGGATCTCCCATAATCCAGTGATTTTATTCCTAGGATTCTACCCAAGGTCACAAAAACACTAATTGAAAAGGAAACCAGTACCCTTACGGTTATTACAGCACTATGTACAATAGCCAAGACATGGAAATAGCCCAAATGTCCCCAAATAGATGAATGGATCAAAAATTGTGGTATATTTACACAACAGAGTTTTATTCAGTGATCAAAAAAGCCAGACTCATGCCATGTGTGGCAACACAGATGAAGCTGGAAGGGATCATGTTAACAGAAATAAATCAGAAAGAAAAAGATAAATACTGGTGGTCTCATTTATATGTGGAATCTAGAGAAACCAAGCAAAAAGTCAAGAAAAATAAAAACTAGCAAGCTGACCACAGAGCTGAGGCAGACAGCAAGGAGCGAGGGTATCTAAACAGGGGGGAAGAACACAGGGATGAGTCATAGGTGACACATGAAAGGAGAAGTTTGGGGGCCACAGCAGTGTAAGAAAGCAATTCAATTAATTAATAAAAAAGGAAAACTAAAAAAAACTTTCGAAGAAATGGTATTTTAAAATATCTCCAATGTAATAGAATGTTCATTGGAGAACATTCTATTTTCTTAAACTTCTTTTTTTCAATATAGGCAAAACATGATCTTAGTGTGTGTGGAATTTGAGGCTCTTTGGAAGATATTTGATAGTAAGGAGACATTTAGGTATGAGAAGAATGGTACATACTTATATATAAAAGACTCAGAATAACAAATGAATAATAAATGGCTTATGAACAAAATAATGAAATCATTATGAAGTGTATTTACTATGCTTATGATGATTGCCAAGTTTTAGAAACTTCAATTATCTTGTCCATTTTGATATTTGGAAGAATATAACCGATGTGCTTACTTTAAATTACAAACTAACCATTGGTAAAATTTGATTAAATGAAAGAAAGACACTTTTTATTTTAAGGAATACAAAAAAGTCCATGAGACTTGTTTGTTGTATTAGCAAAATCTTTAAACATATCTATAAAATTATCCATCATTTGAGATTGCTTGTTTGCAAATCTTAAGAAAGTAGAGGGATGACTGTCCATTTTTAAAATTGGTTCTTATACCAGTTCTTTTATTTGTATGCAATTATTTTGGGGTCACTCATGTAACTGCAATAATTTCATAAACTAGAAAAATAAGTACTTTTGATTACACTTATATGCAGGATAGGGCTGACCAACCTTTAGGTAGATTCCCAGCTTTCTTCCACTTCCTGTCATAGTGTTGCACAACTCTCCCTGTCTTTCATCCTCCACAGACACACTGACTGTGCAAGCTGGACCACGAGAGCTCAGCACACCTGTAGCTCAATGGGCTGGGGAGCAGCTGCCTTGCAAACAGGAGAGGGATGCAGTCCAGCTACACATCTTTGGCTTTTTAGGCTGTACTTGCATGGGTAGCACATCAGGAGTATTTCCAGCAGTTAGAGAAAAAGTGTAATCAGTGACAGCTTGCATGAAAGCGGAAATAGAATGTGGACCTGAATTTGCTTCATTCAGACCAAAAAACAGCACAAATTCTCCCTTTTCTATTGTATCCAGCTGGAACAATTCCCACATGTTCTGTATGTGTCCTTTTATTTGTGTGTGTGTTTGTTAACGAGCATTGCTTTGGATATATGTGCATACCATCTCCACCTGCATCCAGTGAGACAGGAAATTGTTTTTTCTCATTTCTAGATACCAAGATGCTATCCTTATTGCTCTTAAATGCTGCCTTGGCAGCCCTGGCCTGGGTATTGTGCATGGAAGCAAATCAACTACACTTCTCGGGTCTCCAGTTGTCTTTTGTCCTCCAGTTGACTTGTTGCATTTTAGCAACAATTCAAACAATTTAACAAAAATTCACATTAGTTATGAGCTTGGATTCCCACCCCACTCCTAGTCATCATTATTATTTTAAACATCAATGTGATGTAATGTAATCGACTTCAAATTTTTAATCCTTTTCTTGCTCAAAGTAGAACCAACATGATTATGGTACTACTATTAAGATTTTCCAGGGAAATTCTTAGGAAATAGGATGGCTTATTTTTTTGTTAGCAAATATTTTCAAGCATTAGAGTGAAATTCATTAGACATCCAAGAATAAAAACACAGAAGCAGGGCCCTCCCTGGTGGCGCGCAGCAGGTTAAAGCACAGCACTAAGAAGCTTAAGCCACTTCTGCATGAGCTCGATCCCCGCCTGCCCCGGAGGCGACCACATGGCATGGCAGACCTCTCCTGACCCACCCGCTGCTACTCCCCTCAGCAGTGTACTTCATTGATCTGCCTGTTCTGCTCCACACTCTGTCTCTGGTGAATCCTCTCACCCTCCCCTTCCCTGGCCTGTACCCCAGTTCTGTATGAATAAATAAATAAATCTTTAAAAAAAAACACACACACACAGAAGCAACCGAATTCGAAATATGTATTGAAATTTCCTTGCATTTGATTTTTGTTATACTACATAAATCAAAAGATAATTTTTTTCTCCACTTGCAATCATGTATTCTAGACAACAGGACACAACCAGGCTAAAACTTAGCAAGAATTCCATCCATATTCAGAAATGGAAGCAAGTGGTGAATGAGAGGTGCATGTGCCCACTGGTGCCTTCATCTGTTGGGTTTCTTTCACCAAGTGATAGAAAGTAATAATTCAAAGGTTGGTAGATATAGGGTAATGGGTGAAAGGGAAACTTACCACATCGCGGAGCAGTCAAAATTCACCAAAAGCCATTTGTGGGGGTTAAAGTTAAATGAATCTGCAAACTGCCAAGGATAAAAACAAGATAAAATATTTTAGTTACTAGTGTTTGGTTATAACACAAGATCTCACCCACAGTAAAGCAGAGTGTGCTTTCTCACATGAAACACGGGAGCCCTTAAGAAGGTGTGGGTCAGTCTGCTCAAAGGGGTCACATAAGTGTTTCTCAACAGGCCCAGAATAGAACTCCTATCAAGTTGGTATGAGAATTGGAGATCCACCAAGTTCCTGTGAACCTTAGAAATTTTATTACCCTTGCTTAAAGAATGCAGAGTCTTTTGTTGGAGAAAATCAAGGACCCTTAAGGAGACTAGGAAAAACTCTGTTCTTGCCTATGTATTTTGCCCTTTCCAAAGTGCAAAATAGAGCTATATGTCCGAAACTACCCCTCTCCCTCAAGCAGAGAATCTAAACCAGAGCTTCAAATTCTCTTTATGTGCAGACCTCTCTTATCTCACCACTTGCTCTCTCGCCGGGTATTTGAATGTCTCCACCATCTCTGGTGAGTTCTTTTTCACCTGTGCCACCAGCCTCGATTCTCCACACCTCCACTTCACCCCAAATCACCTCCATATTTCTCCTCACTACATCTGCAGTGCATTCTTTTGAAAGGAAGAAATTAAAATCGCTTAGCCTACTTCTAGTTCATCATATCTTTAGGTTGGGACACTTTAGAACTAGAAACCTTCAATCAAGAATATATTCATAATTTCACCAACTGAATGTTCCAACCTATATAACCTAATAAACTTGTGTTTATTAAAGCAGCTCTCATAAGCAAAATCTGTCGGATTGCTCCCTGGGTTAGAATATTCACTGTGACTATCTAATAAATTATTTGTCTAAACATCACTGAGATTTTTTTTCCCAATTAACATACCATACACCTGAAACAGTGAAACTATACCCCCAAATCATGTACAGTGCTATAAACCAATGCTACCTTTGTGGGAAAAAAAATATATATGTAAATGAGGAGTTAGAACAAGATAATACCCAGAGTCTTCCAATTAACATTTCCTATTATTTAGCTTTGACCCTAAATTGGTGTAGGGCTTATCACATCAAATCAAGGGCTACACCTTGAAGATATTTGATAAAAATCAAAATATACAGAGTCTCACACTGTAACCCAGAAAGGCTGTAGAAGGACATGGGGTGGGGGTATTTCTGTTAATCTACAAGGTGATGCCAACATGCTAGCAGCAACATAAGCCACTTTGCTGTGCCGTGGACAGTCCAGCTCTGAAATTGTGTGTCTCAATTCATTTTTATTTGGGAAAATTAGTAGCTTTACAATTCCTCATAAAACGAGATATTGCATAGACTGAAGTCACATAAAATATATCCACATTCTCTTTCAAACTACTAGAACATTTGGAGTAACTATTATTTTAGTTCATATGCACATCTGGAAGCTGTACTGATTTAGCCTCTGGAATAGTGTGTGTTTATCATGATTTCCTCAATTTCATGAAGTAGCCATGTTTTCAGATACACACATCTTTATAAACAATGGCTAAGTGAAAGTTTCATAATTAATCTACAGTAATCAGAAATAACCCATTTTCACTTGATTACCAATATCAAGGTAATAGATCAACAATTCTTCCTGTTACCTGAATAGTTTAAAGACAATGTCCATTATATTTCTAACATATTGTTGAAAGCCAATGGGTAACAAATATAGTCAGCTCAATCCAACTTCACACTTCAATTCCTGGTGCCACCATATTTTCAAGCAGAACATAAGAGATTTCAACTAACAAAAGTGGCCTAGAAGGGCACCTTGTATTTTCACTGAGCTATAAAGAGTGGTCGGTTCTTAGGGTTATCCCAAGACCTCCTCAACTTACTCTGGGTTGAGGTCTGAGAAGGGCCCCGACCAGACAAATGACAACAATGTGGCACTGGTGGCAGGAGACAAACATTTGGTCAGCTGATGCTACCTCCTGTCAACCCACTCTGGGGCTGAAGATTCATTTCCTTACATTTTTTAATAAAAGTAATTTTGAGAAACAGACAGGAAATTACAATGAGAATGAGCTTTATTTGTTGATAAACGAGAACAAAAGGTTAAAGAAGCACTTTGTTTGCTCAGAATTTTATTAGTTCCCTCCTAGAGGGCTGATCTGTTTAAACTTCTTTCATTATCTGACTGTGATATTTTCCTACTGTGGACAGAGAGAAAGCCTTTTTATCTCCAGGGGAAGGCTACAACAGGATATTGCAGTTCTCTTATCTGACCAACTGAGCAGCAAGGCAAGGAAAGAATCTGAAATAATGAGGGGAAAATGGGAATGACTCACTGTTAGGCATGAAATCCTGTCTGCAGCCGATAGGATCTCCTGCAACTCCTGCCCTGAAGAACTGAGGGTGAGACTGCCCCCTCTGCCCTCATGAAAGAAGAAACCCCAGGCTGTCAACTCATGGGAGGGGGAGGGGCAGTGGTACTTGGAAAAGATCCTGAAATTCTGAACCTGATAGAACTGGAATGGGTATGTCGTCCCCCCCTATGTCTTAGGAAAGGCACTTAAGTTCCTTCCCTATTCCCTGGAGTCTGCAGGTACAGACATTTCCAGCAATGTGTAGCATCTCCACAACAGAAAGTATAGAGTGTGGGCTCCACCTCCCCTAAAGGATCAGGTAGATTTTTTTTCTGTAGGCCAGTGTAGATCTCTAGTTCTCTTGATATGGACCTGGAGATCAATCCAGGACTTATGTGCCTTGCCTCTGGAGTTTATTACCATTGCTTAAGTTACACAGATTGCTGTGGCTTGAGAACAGTGAGGGCTTTGAAGGTGAGGAGAAGTTTCTATTCTTGCCTAAATCCTTTCCCAAGAGGGCTAAAGGATGTTCAGAGTGATTTCTTTTGTTCTCAGACAATGGTACAGAGACTTATTCTTCATTTCCTCACACCAAACACCTCATGACTAATTGCCAGAACAAACTATTAGGCATTGGCACTCTATTTTCAGGACTTTTCCTTACTATACCTCTCTCCCCAACATTTATAGAGGCCTTCTCCAGCACCACTCACCTTGAGATTTATCTATTCAGAGTCCCTGAGTATTTATTGAATAAAAGAGTGAATAAATGAGTGAATTCAATGGAGATATTGACCAGAAAGCTAATTTTTTCATTAGTAAAAACAGATTATTCTGTTCAAAGATGGAAATATTCTATATTGCTAACCCCACTTTCCCGGTATTGTTGCATTATGAGAATTCAAACTGGTAATTCAATTACAGAGTTGATTGGCAAGCATGACATGAGATCAGAGAGAGATTCTAGGGGAAAGTTTCTCCAGGTCATGGTGAAAATATAATAGCATGTAATGTATGCACAGTGCTTGCTGTGTGGGAGATGCTATTATTCAAGGCTTTTAAATATTATTAACTCCTCTGATCCTGTCAACAGTCCCTCAAAGAAGGAACCATTACTGGATTCCATGTGTGAGATGTAGAGAGGAAACCTAACGTTCCCAGTGGGATAGAACCAGTCCTAGGGTAAATTTGGTATTCAAACAAGCAATCAAATACCAGAGCCAAGCTTTCAATCCCTGCCCCACATATGAGAGAAGTCTCCAGAGAATTCTGCCTCTGAGCAGAAAACCCAGAGTCATAACTTCACTGACTCACTCTCTTCTCACTGCCCATGTCTGCCTCTCCAACCCTTTATTACATTTACATCTGAATTTCTGGCAAACAGAACTCCTGCTGCATGAGCTGGAGTCTAAAATGACCCATCAGAGCACATTCATAAGGGCATGGCTGTGTTAAGTCTGTGCCAGACCTGTGCAGAGGCAGACAGAATATTGGCCCATAGTTTCGATTGCCCTTTTTCAAAAGAAGCAAGTGTTTTAGTTGGCTTTGCAGGCCACATTTAACAAATTCTGGAAGTGAAATTGGACATTAAAATGTGTTGGTAGCTGCTCGGTTAGTATTGATTACAGTGAATATCAAATTTGCTCACATGGTCAGAACATGATCATCATGTTGAATCAGACTGGACAAAATTGAAAGTCATAATTTTAAATTACCCTTTAATCTGAAATACATTAAGATCTTGTCTAATTCCTACACATGTTCCCACAGTTTCATATGCTAAAACCTAACATATGCAGCTATGCCTAGGATTTGAACACATTAAAAATAGTTACAGCATCAAGAGCACAGGCTGCGTGACCAGAGAAGGTTCTCAACCAGATGACTGGAAGGCAAATTCCAGTCATCTCTGGGACTAGTTTGAAAATAACTTTCTGAAACAAACACACAACAGTGAATTTATTGTCACATTGCTAGAAGAAGTCACCGGTAACATGATACTTTTTTAACGAAAACAGACTGTATAAAAGAGCAAAGAGCACACCCACCTCCACGCCATTCAGAAGATGACGGAACTCAGGGCAGATGAAGGCGCTGCCCGCATAGGCAGCGTCAATGTGCAGCCACAGGTTCTCCTGGTGACCTAGAGTTCAGATGAAACCTGTGAGTGCTCAGACAGGTGCCTTCAGCGTTTGGGTCTGACAGTTGAGCTCAACCCATTCTGGACTCTTTGCACATAGTCCGGCAATAAAATTTGTTGAACCAAGTTCTGGATTCCTAGGCACCTCTCCTCTGAAGGCCACAAAAGTGGGGACAGAGTCCATGTGCTATGTCTCCACGCAGTGCCTGGCACACACTAGACATTCAGGGTGCACATGGAAAATCAAGGGATATGGAAATAGTTGGGCTCCTGCTCTTGCTCAGCCTGGCTCCTGTGAGCCAGCACATGCAGGCTCCAGGTTGCCCCAACCTAGTGTAGGTACCCTACTGTGCATGTGCTTCCCCACCTGGAATTTCTTCCTGAGTCTTCTGGCTCTCTCATGCAAAGTCTTTTCCATGAGAATCACTGGAGGAAGGTTCTGTGGACAGTCCATATGACCTTGATCTGCCTCCCTCTGGCCCCATGTGACCTAAGTACTTAATTTTATACTCTTAGAATCTAGGAGAGTCTTTGTGGATAGAGTGTTTTCTTTCCAACCATACTGGTAAAGACTTGCAGGAATGACCATGTCTTAGTTGGGAAGTGACATGGTGTCTTATGTAAATGCACTTCCTCTGTTTGGACACCTTTCATTCAATTCCTTCCTCTCAAAATCAGCAGTCACATGGCCTCACCTTCTTACTCCAAGCTCCTTCTCAAGAGCAAATGGAGATAAAAGTAGCACCTGTAACTTAAGGAGTAAAATGAGGGGGCATTCAAATTATGCCTGGTATAAGTTAGCACAGAGTTAGTGAGGAAACTGTGTGATCATCTCCAGCTTAACCCTGATCATAGACTACAGAAGCATGGAGGCCACAGGGTTTCAGGGTCTTTCCTTCCAGAAAAGGACACTACTCTTGGAACCACTGTAGGAGTCAGCCATCACCTGCCCAGTGCATAGGCACCTGCTGATAAATTTATGATTTGGTTTTTTTATGGTCACACATGAAATGTATATTACATGACACACACTATTCTCACACAGAGTACTAACCACACATGATTCCTATATGACATGCACACATGATGTGTTACTTATACACACCACAAGTGTTGCCCATATATAGTGAGCATTAATCATGCATGCTAAATGCTACTTACACATTATACTTGTTATTCCTACATGATGATGTCACTCACATATGATGCTATGATGAAGAATGATAGAATCCCTAAGAGGCATTTCAAAGCCTTGAGTCAGTTTGATCTTCAGGATTGAAGGGATTAAAGCCCTCACTTGATCAAGATCCAACATGTTCCACAGACTAGAGAGATGGCCTCAGAGTGGTCACTGTCCTGTGTGAAGTCTAGCAACCAGAAGCCAGTTTTACGGCCAGGTCACCACAGAACAAGGTCAACCCAGCCCTGAGGTCAGACCCATCGAGGAAGAAGGGGAAGCCTCTACTACCAGTGCCATTTCCTTCGAGGGGCCAATGACAGTAGCAGCCAGGCCCCATGACCTCTCATACTGCACAACCTTGCCCACACTTCCATCCTAGCACCTCCTTGAGTCGTGTCTTTGTGCTTCATCTTCCACACTCCTGGAACCACCAGCCTCTACCTCCTACTTTCACACCCCCTCCAACCTGTCTCTTTCAACTATCTGCTTTCAGGAAATTCTATTGCTCCATCCAAGTGGACAGATTGAAGCAGCCTCTCAGGTGAATTAATTTAGAAGAAAGTAAGTGCCTTTTCTAAAGCAGCAGCTTGGAAAAAAAAATATCTTCTAATGTGCACTCCTTGGTAAATAGCAACTCTGAGTTACTTGAATGCTTTATTCTGATATTGGACTCTTACCCTTTATAACTAACAGCCAACTAAGATCTCAGAACACCCTTGTCTGCAGTTGAAGAATGCTAACTTTCGGTGACAGTCAAGTGAGTGGGTTAGAGAAGGGAGAGGGCATTACAAGCGCTCACTTAACTGTGCAGACACTATTGGAAAGTAACAGAATCAGCAGCAACAACTATAGTTGTCAAAATTAAATTCACATGTATAAACATTGGCAGCAAGTGGAAGGTTTTTGGCATTCACAAATGTCTGCACTCTCAGGCAACTCCCCAAACTCCCATGTTTGGCACTAAACATCACAAATCTAGTTCTGCCCACAGCTCCCAGACCTGGGGACAGAGGGAGCTACAGGATAGCAGGACAGGCTGACCTGGGTGCTGTCTGCAAATGCCAGGAGCCACCCCCTGGCTGTCACCTCTTTCATCTGTTGGGCAGCCAGCCCTAGCCCTCAGGGAACAGCAGAGCCTCGTGGGCCATGCCCTGCAGAAGACTCAGCCTTTAAACCCCGTAGCCAGGAATTACATCAGCCACTCACTGCCCAGGACAGCCAGTGCCCAGCCTGACATCTGAGTCAGGGGACACAAGACGCTGCCCTCACTGACAGGGGTTTGCAGCTGACGAGGTCAATGTGATGGCCGCCCTCCTGAGCCGGCCAATCTTGAGTCTTCTCCTCAATCCTGGGCCATACATGACTACTTTTAGCCAGCTATTCTTAGAGATATCTGCACGGGTCATAGACAGTGGAGCAAAAACCAATTATGCACCTATAGCACTCATCACTGCCTGTCACTGTCACCCCCTTCCTCCAGCATGAGTGAAACACTCTACCCTTTATCTTGCATTTCCTTGTTATACTCACCCTTTCAGGAAACCTGGAGGGAACTATCATCATTTCACAGTTACAAGTACTGTTCCCCTCTCCCCTCTACATATGGGGAAATGAAGCTCAGAATGAAGGCACAGTTTTATGTGATGGCCCTGACCACACCATGGCTGTTCTGTGGCCCTAGCTGAGCCCAAGGCATGATGTCCCACCATTGCCCAAGAGCTCAAAGCAGGAAAGAGGGTCCACTCACTAGAGAGTTAGATCACTATTAGAAGAGGTGAAAAGCATGCTGGGAAGAGGTAGATAGGAAGTGAGCTAAGGCCAAGCGCTTGGTGTAATGTTTTTCATAAGCTACAAATCCATGGTCTGAGGGTCTGACTGGCACCCTGTGACAAGCACCTTCAGGCGGTGAACCCCACCCACCACTCCACCACCTTCAGGCCAGTAGGTCCTTGGGCCCAGGGGCATGGCTTATGGATCCCACAGCAGAGGAAGGAGAATTTCCAGACTCATGGTCCTACTGAGGAAAGGTCTGTGGCCCCAGAATCTCTCCAAGCATATCTCCCTCTTGATGTGCTCTCAGGACTATAGTGAAAGTGTTAGGGGGAAAGTATGTCCTAAAGGAACTCTGCAGAGTTTTATAGACTCCACCCCCTACTCAAGCTTTCTGGACTCCACCCCCTACTCCAGTGATTGGAAACTACAACACCCAGCACCATCAAGGAGAGAACTGTGAGAACCTAAGGGTGGAGCTAAATGGGCATTCTGGGACTTTGGGGGATTTATATAGAGGGCCTTTTTCTACACGCTGTCTCTCAGGACCATATGGCTAGTGGCTATCAGTGTGTTATTGGAGTTCCAAGTCAGCCAAGCTGGTAGGATGCTCTAATTACCTTGTATCTCTCTCTCTTTCCCTGGGTTGTTCCTTTTCCTTTCCCCTTTTGTAAATAAACCCATTATTGACCTTTTTTGTGTGTGCCTGCAGTACAATTAAATTTAAAGCACCCGTGAGGACCCACAGACAGACACCCCAGTTCACATTGAGGTGTCCTGTAACAAAAGGTGCAACCTTACAAGCAGAGTTGCTGCTTCTACATCTTTTTCAGTCTCCAAATTCTCAGAAAAACTAAGTGGCCTGAATAAGTAAGAGCAGGGTGTGAGAAAAACACAGCAAAATCCTCCTTTGGAGAAGTCTCTCCCTTTTTTTTTCAATATTGATTTGTTTCATGATGTTAAGTAGTTTGCTTATCTGAGATTCTAGAGATTTACTTCTGTGTGACCCCTGTGTGTGAGGGACTGGCTCTAAGAGGTGAAAGTGTTCTCTATGGTTCGTTGCTAGGAACATATTTTTTTCATAAAGTGTATTGGTAAGCTCAACTTTCCTTCAGTTAGCACAAATTGTGAGTGTGAGAAGTTCAAGCTACTTAGGTTTTTATTATTGCAAATAAAAGAAGAGTTTGGCAAGCTATGATAATATTAAGCTATTATGTTAATAATATATTTCATTAGAATATAGTTATGTTACATATAAGTATATTCTGTTATATCATGCTAATATTATGCAGGAGAACCCAAAGAGGAAGTCTCCTAGATTCCCCATATATTGAGAAAATGTAATTACTTACAGATGGGACCCACTTCTAAGAGGTTGTCAAAAGAGCAGCAGGATGTGGTCCCCAGTGTAGCCACCACCTGGAGAATGAAAAGCAGGGCTCTTCTCAGATTCTGTGTCTTAGTGACCATCACTCCCTCCTAACGTACAGCCATCCCCTAAGCCCAGCCCAGACCTTGAACATGAAGCCAATGAGTGTATGCTAAAAGAGAGGCAAACTGTAAACGTGTGTTGAATCTTTGGTGAAAGCATCATGTTATTGAGACTTATGAGACTGTGAGCTTCGACCTCAGCTTCTGCACCACCCCCCAGGAGCTACGAGAAGCCCCTCTTATAGCTGGCATCGCTGTAAAGAGATTTGAGTTCACCTTGACTGTCAGGACAGTGTAATTATGTGAAACAGGAAAACTGATGTTTTTCTTGCCTGGGTGTGTATGGAAAGCAGAGCAAGTGGCTGGCACTGACCGATGCCGGTGGGTGGGTGCTCTCAGGACATGGTGAAATCTCCTTTTAGAATAGCCTTTGGGGGCAGTTCAGAGCCGTGAAGAGTTTGATCAAGAGTACCTGTCACTGAATTGCACCTTTTCTTTGAAGGATACTCTGTCCAGCATTAACTTCATCCCTTAAAAGAAGCTGTGTTCTAAAGAGATTCATGGGAAAACTCTACTGACATTGAACATAATTTCTGAGGGGCATTTCAAGGGAGTGTTGTGCACTGCTGGTCATCCCACCGGGAGATGCAGACTAGTCCTGGGCTTGTTCATGCCCTCGCAGCCCCTGATGATCCAAAAACATGGACCATTCCTACACGCGGAGCTGTCTCCCCTGTCAACAAACTGAGCTCTTGAAACCCGGGTCCTTAGCTTATTTCTGCACATTGCCATAAATGTATCCTTTGCCAGACATGGAATAAGTGCCAAAACACATGAACTAAAAGCAGACACTCTTAAAATGATCAAAAATCATATACTATTTTCAAAAGCAAAGAGCCTAATTGATTTCCAATACTATGTACTATCTGGCTAATGAGATTTCTCCTTAGATAAATCAGGAGTATGAAATCTCATCCAATCTATGTAGTCATTTAAAAAAATTATTTTATTTATACATACAGAACTGGGGTACAGGCCAGAGGTGCAGGGGCAGTGAGAGTATTCACCAGAGGCAGAGTAGGGAGCAGAACAGACAGATCAACAAAGTACACTGCTGAGGGGAGCAGCGGATGGGCAGGTCAGGAAAGGTCTGCCACGCCATGTGGATCACCTCTGGGGCAGGGGGTCGAACTCGCACCGAAGTGGCTGCGGCTCACTTGCAGTGCTGTGTGGAACCCGTTGTGTCACCAGGGAGGGCCCTAATCTATGTAGTCTTTACAAGCTCCTACTAGGATCCCAGTAATGCCACGTGCCCTGAGAATAGAAACCAAGTGTTCAGAAATATAAAAGCTGTTAAACTTGAGAAACTGGTTGGAGGCTTTCTGGTTCCATTTCGCCTACAACTGACCTAAAAACCAAGCACCCCCCTCAAAGTGCTTAAGGAAGAAGGAGGCATCATGCCTGCCCTGTGTTAGCCTCAGCTGACTCCTCTGTGTGCAGTTTTCTCATCTGAGAACAGTCTTGTCCAGACACTAGAGTTGCCCTATGCCCAAGGGCAGAAGGTGATCACTTCCTCTGTTTTTAAAAGAATGGTAAAAATTAGGTGATTAAAACAGAGGGTGAGTCAATCATCGTAATATTGCTTGTGTAATTTCTTTTCTCACGTTTAAGGGTTTCTTGGGAATTACGTTTGTAATTCAGCAATTCCTTCCATTTCACCTCATTTTCCACTGATAAATTCTAACTGAATTAAGGGCAACGACTTTTTTTTTGCTTGATATTTTAAACTGAGGCAACATTGGTTTACAACATTGCATGTGATTGGAGATACAGGATCACCCCCTTCAGGAGTATACTACCACGCCACATGGACACTAGAGTCGCCTACCAGAGTCCATGATGTCTCATGTCCACTTTGCTCTCTTTCGTCCCCTCCCCTCTGGTACCCTCAGTTCTACAGTCAGATATCTTGGGTTTTTCATTGGTTCAGTTTTACCTGACCCTTTGATTTGTTTCTTTATATTCCACATGTAAATGACACCATCCTGCATTTATTTTTATCCTCTTGACTTATTTGCTGAGGTTTATCCCCTCTACCTCCATCCATGTTGTTGCAAATGGCAAGAATGTCTTTTTTTTTTTTTATAGCCCAGTAGAATTTCATTGTGTATATGCAACACATTTTCCTAACCCACTCATCTGTTGTTGTTTCCATAGCTTGACTATTTTTTATAAACAGTATAGTAATGAATATAGTTGTCAGAGATCCTTTTGGATTAGTGTTTTTGCATTTTTCTGGTAGGTACCTAGGAATGGAATTGCTGGATGTTGATTCATATGTAACCTATTTTGAGATTTTTAATGTAATTCTTGATGTTTTGTTCTGAGCAAGGAGTATTTCTGTAAAAACTATAAAAAATCTTGCTTGGTCCTAGGAATGATTCAGTTGAGAGTAATAGGGTCTGTTCTCTGCAGATTGGGAATTTGCAGAAATGTTCTATTCAGTAGTCTTTGAGTTGGATAACTTTATGTCCCTTGCTTTATAGTTTGACTGAAGTACAACTCCCAGAGTGGGCTAAAGGCTCACAGAGAGGCACGAGCGACCAGAAGTGAGCCCAGCGTAGACAATTTGATTGTTCTGCTAGCTGAAGAGCCCAGCACCCTGGGCCATGTCAGGGGCCCTTCCAGCAAGCAAGCCCTTTGCTGCAGCTCAGGATGGAGACTTGTGGGCAGGCAGAAAGGGACAGCAAGAAGGCTTCAAGCCAGCAAGGCAGCAGGGCACAGTGTTCTAGATGATGACAAATCAGCTTGTCTTAATTCCCAGAAGCCACTTCAAAGTCAGCACCTGCTCTGCCCCAGGCTCTGATTACCTCAGCTCAGCTCAGTGACACTAACCTGATTTCAGCAGCTCTGCAGAGGCCATAATCACATTTGTGCACAGGGAGGGAGGGAGGAGATTTGCAAGCACCCCCATCTCAGACAGCCCTTGGTGCTCCTGTTCTCTGAGCCAGACCTCCTCCCCCACCTGCCTGGCCCTTCAGCAAACAAACATTTCGCTGGCTTACGTGTCCTGCATGCACTACCTCTGCGTTTGGCCTGACCTTATCAAATCAGTTCTGGGGAAAGCAAATCATCACAGGAAGAAAGGGAATCTTTGATTTAAGGCCTAACAAGTTCATTCTGGGCCAGATATTCAGTCTTTTCAGTTTAAATCTATAAAATGTGCCCTTTACTCTCAACAGTAGCTTTGAAATTTGAGGGGTTTGTAACCTCTTTCTGAATACAAAGAAGGCTGTTAGTCCGCATCTCGAATTGTGCATATAATATATATTAAGTACTCGCAGAATGTTGCAGCAGGAACAACTATGTAGTAACTTAACAGTAAAGCCACAGCTCTTGCTGGCCTGGGCTAGTGTCTGTCTACAGCTTCGAGTCTCTGGACTGTCTATCTAAGGTATCAAACCAGTAACATTTCCTGGAATAGCCTGTGCTTAATTCTGCCCTTCACCCCCTGTTGAGTACAGTTCTTATCACATGGGGCAAAGAACCCCCCACAAAGAATCATTCTATGAGGGAAATGACCATGATGTTTCCCAGCCCCACAGGGACTGGCACATAGGGTGATCTGAAGGAAGTAGCGCGGGAGGAATGCAGGAGAGCATGCATGGTTGATCTGGGAGATGTCTCACTGTTCCAAAATGTACAATTGGCCCGTCTTTGTGACCTCTGTTAGCAGAATGTCACTGTTGGGAGTGACCAAAGATTTAAGTTGGGACAAAACAATCACAAATGCCCAAACATTTCCTGAAATTTTGGTCTTTAAAGCAAAATACCATAAGTTTATTCACTGGTATGCCATCTTCCTGAAGAAAAATAAACTTGGATTTATTCCTCTCAAAACAGTGTAATCTTCTCTTTAATTATTGTATCTCTCCTTACTTGTTCCCTTCACTTGAACATATATATATAAATCAATCTATTATTTCAAACCACCTTTTTCTGCCAGCTACTTAACCACTATGCTCTAACTGCTAGCTCCTGCCTTTCTCTATATAATTCTTTACAATGGAAATTTATTTCCACATTCATTGTTTCCTCATTAGCCCAACAGAATCTGAATTTACTCTTGTCCACATTAGTAAATCTACTCAGAGATAGTCTTAAATTACCCCCTTTTAGAAAAACAAATGAGGTGTCTGATAAATTCAGTAAGGCATTCTCAAGTTATTCAACGGCCTTTGGGACACTCTCCTACCTGGGGCTTAAGTCATCTTCTCACTATCTGCCTTCTACCTCCTGATTCTTCTTCATAGCCTTATAAGGGCTTCTTTTCTTCTACCCATCTTTAAACAGTGGTGTTTGCCCCTCTGTCTCCTCTAAAGCCTATTCTGGGGGCTGCCTCATCATTCCTAGTGACACTGCCATGAACTCAGATGTAACTTGCATCTGTGTCTGGTTTAATGGTGGTGGTGGTGGGGGGTGTGTGTGGGCATCTCTACTTAGACATTCCGTAAATCTTCAATTTGTGCAAAAATTAACTCAACATCTTCTTGTCCAAATCTATATTTCTGGGTTTGTTTGTTTGTTTGTTTTGGATCTCTATCTCATTTTGCAAGAAATGGAATAACTAGCAGGACTAACTCAATGAAAAACATGGAAATCATTTCAAACTCCCCTCTCCCTTCCTGCATTCATTAGTCCTTTCATAAATGTCTCTCAATTTGATTCCTTTCTTTTCATGTCCATGCCAGCACTTTTATCCACACCTTGTCATCCTCAACTAATTACCACAGAGTATTAAATCTCTCTCCTATCTTGCTTTACCACAATATATTCATCAGAACAACTATCCTTAGGAAATTGTTTTTGTCTGCAACACGTATATGAATCACAATTACATTAAAAATACACTCTCACAAGCAATTACAGACTTTGATAGGACTCACTAATATTTTCAAATAAGTAGTATTCTAAAATAATTCATAATC